TGCCCAGCAGCTTGGTCAGGGCCTAAGGGAGGGTCTCGGGCCATGTGGCCAGAAGTCTGTGGGGGACCCAGAAACACTGCCCCCATGATGTAACCTGTCTTGGCCAAGAGCCTTTGCTGCAAAAATCAGAAAACTTCTCAAGCCTCACAACTTCCCAGTATAAAATGCGGAGCTCCTGCTGGGCCACAGAGAGCAAAACTGGGACAGGAAAGTTTGGAGGGGCGCCTGGTGTCTCAGTCATTAAGCCTCTGCCTTTGGCTCAGGTCATGATCCCAGGGTCCTGGGATGGAACCCCACATTGGGTTCTCTGCTCAGCGGGAAGCCTCCTTCTCCCTCTCTCACTCCTCCTGCTTGTGTTCCTTCTCTGTCTCTTTCTCTGTCAAATAAATAAATAAAATCGAAAAAAAAAGAAAAAGGAAAGTTTGGAATCAGGACTTCCTTTTCCCTTTCCATCCAACAGGGAGGATGTCTTCCTCCCTGTTCATATTCTCTCTCTCTCTCTCTCTCTCTCTCTCTCTCTCTCACACACACACACACACATACACACACACACACCCCTCTAACTGCTTCTCTGGGACCAAATGTCCTCCTTATTCGTCCTGCTTTCTATCCATCTATCTGTCCCTCTGTTTTTCAACTGGCTTTCTTTGCTTTCAAAAGTTCAAAATGACCTTTCACTTCAGGCCTGCACCAGTAGCTAACCCACTGCCCCTTTGAGATCCCAATTCTCAACCAGAAAGAGGCAAGTCTGGTTGTCGCAGACCAATCCAGGAATGCCCCCAGCCCCGCCCCATTCTGTGACTAAGCCCCATCTCAGCAGCCGGGCACAGAGTCTCCAGGAAGGGGACAGGAATGGCAGGAAGACCGTTGTTGGGAAGGGCTAGATCAGAGGGTCCAGCAGAGTCTCAAGTTGGAGGGGCGCCTGGAACCGCACAGCCTCTCCTACAGGGATCCCGTGATGACCCTCCTTGCGCTTGTCATTCAGACCCTGCCCGAGCACCGGGAAGGAGGAAGGGGAAAGGGAAGCAGGCTCCTTGCAACAGTGCATCCCAGTTTGGGGCAACTCTAGCCGGACTGGAGTTCTTTTTGGTGTCGACTGCGAGCCCAAGTCTACCAGCCCTTCACGCTCGTCTCCCCTCTGGGGTTACACATGCCCATCAGTGCTTGCAAAACAAAGCAGGGACATATTCCTGAAAGCTGCATTTCTGCCAATCAGGGTGAGATCAGCCCAAAAAACCAGCCCCTCTCTCCAGGCAGAGCTTCTACCCCTCTATTCCGATCTGTGCACCCCTTTTCTGGCTCTTGATTTAGCAACTGAACCGGATTTCATTAACTCACACATTCATTGATCGATTCATTCATTCAACAAATACTTGGGACATGTCTGCTGTGTGATAAGTACTACACCAGGCATGGGGCATAGACTGTGACCACCAAGGGACCCATCTCTGCCTTCAAGGAGTTTGTGGTTTAATTTGAAAAAGAACATCATGATCACCGCGATGAAGGTGTTGAGGAAGAAAGCATGGGAGCTCTGAGACCCATAGGAGGGCAGACCAGCCCGGCGCGGGACAGTAGCCTGAGCGAGAAGTCAAAGAGGCATCTCTCCATTTGGCCAGAAGAACAAGGGAGAGACCGTTATAAATTGCAGGAGGCGAGCGAAGTGACCATATTGTTATTTCTAAAAGTGCACTCTCTCTGCTCGGTGGAGAGTACGTCGGGGGGGGGGGGGGGAGGAGAGGTGGGAGGAGAGCAGGAGAGAGGCTCTGCGGAGCTCCAGAAAAGGTGGTGATTTGGACTGGAAGACGGGGAGGATGGGGCAGCGGGATGGGAAAGGGTTGGAAAGTCAATAGATTTTAAGTCTATCTTGCAGGCAGAACTATGGGGTTTTGTGATCATTTAGAAGGGGAGGGAGAGAAGTGATTCTCTGCAAATCCTGTTTATTGAGACAGAAAACATAACAGCGAATGAGGGTCATAAACTCAGTGTGGGACCAATGAGCGAGAGCTGCTCAGGCAACCTCGGGGCAGAAATGTCAGACCCTCGGCACAGAAGGAGTCTCAGCCGAAGTCTGCGAGAATGGTAACTGGAGTTCAGTGGCCAGCCCCGCTGGCTGCTCCCCAGCAAACCATACTCCGGGGAGACTCTCACAGAGAATGTAATTCTTCTCTCTTCTGGAACCACGGAACCATGACGAGCACATGCAAACCATTGTCCTGTGACTACAGCATCCTGAATGAATATGTTTATCTCTGGCATTTTTGGAGATCAAGCCAGTTTTCCGGCTCTGTCGGCATCTCGCGGTGATGCTCTGGGCTGATTGGAGCACGTCCTCCGCAGGGAGCTCATGGGGGGCTCTCCGTCCGCAGGACCGTGCCAGTTCTATGGCGGCTGTGACAGCACAGTGAGGACCCGATCTAAGAAGCCTGATGGTGCACAGACATGGCTCTGACCATTAGGAGCGGCACCTGCAAAAATAGCCGGTCAAATCCCAGCTGCTCAGAGCTGCGGAGGAGGACGAGGGGCGGTCCTCAAAGCCGTGTGCCGGCGGGTCAGCCCGGAACCCTCAGAGGTGGTGCCAGGAGGACACGCACAGGAAGGGGCAGAGTGGGGCAGAGTTCAGGCTTTCTGCATTCCAGACCGTTCACCCTCAGCCCCTCTGTGCCTCCTTTCATTTCCTCCGAGCCCACTGGAGGAAAGGATCCTAGACCCCCCCAACCCCCACCCCACCACTACCCCCGGGAGTGGTCTGACATGCAGATTCTGAGCCAGGGCGAGCCCAGGAACCTGCATTTGTCATGACTAAAGGTGAGGTCAATGCGGGGAATTCTCAGACTTGTGGTCATCACTCTGTTTTCCCTTGTGATGCTAGTTGTGACTGCTGAGCTGTCAGACTCCGTCCTGTCCCACTGCTCCCCGTCCCCACCCCCCCACACTGTTAATTGATTTGGTGTGAAGGTCCCTGGCCCAGAGAAACCTCTGACTCATCCTTACCCAAGCTCTGGCAGGCCTCCCTGTGGGTCCAGCAGCTTCTTGGATGGCGGAGTCTATCCATGCACACACAGGCCACAGCTAATGGAACAGGAGCTCTGTGGGCCCACTGTGTGACTCAGGAGGTCCTCCCAAGGCCATTGGCCAACAAAGGAAGGAAGGGGTTGGAAGCTTAGCCACAGGTGGGGGAGGGATTAGGGGGCCAGAGCGTGTGCGTGAGCCTGGTGGCTGCCTCCCCCAAGATTCCCTCCAGGGACTGCCTTGTCCTGTGAAGTTCCGTGACTCCATTCAGTGGTTTCATCTCTGCAGCCCACGGACAACAGCACCGGCTTGGCTCAGAGACAGAGCAATGTCTGGTCCGAGGCTTCAGTGTGGATAAACGTGCTAAACCACCAAGGGGGAGGGAAGGTTTCCAGTCAACTGGGAAGAGCATTTTGCCTCTGGCTCTGGGATTGACCTTGATGCCATCTCCAGAAGGCACAGAGTCTCCTGCTAAGGCAGGGGACGGAGAATAAGAGTGGTCATCTCCTGTTCTGGCTCAGGATTTCCAAATCTTCTCTGAAACCATCATTGAGATCGCATCTGCTTGGTTGAGGCTGTCTTCACTTCCTTTCCCTTGGAAATATCACCCAGAGCAACGTAGAGGTCCCAGGGCTGGTTCACAGGCGGGCCTCTGTTCAGGCCCACATTTCTGGGTATGTGAGATAATGCCGGCTTCTCCATCAGCTCAGAACTCTGGGTATTGAGGAAAGGCCACATCCAGGCAGAGGGGAGTCACCTGGGGAAGGCAGGTGGCCATGCAGACCTGTTGCCTCAAAACGGCATCAGGATTGGTGAGTTCACCACTATCCCCTGTCTGGCCCCGTCTTGCTGTCTCAGGGTCCAGGAACCACTTGGACTAGGGATGGGGCCTTGGCCTAACAAAAGTCCTTGGAAAATTAGGTGTACAGTTAGCATGCCGGTTTGAAATTTCAGAATGAGAAATGTAGCTTTTAGGGGGACCAGATGTTCACATCAGCCTGACGACCAACACTTTCTCTCCCTGTGGACAAGTTTTGGGGGACCTGAATATGAAAACATTGTTTGCTGAGAACAGAGCTAGAGGAGAACAGACGACTCCATATGATGTTGAGAGAATTTAAGGTACTTCAGATTTGCTTTAATCAGCTCTGATAGGAAAACACAGACATGGAAGAGACTACGATGGAGAAGAAATTTTTATATTTGATCCCTAGAAATAGGAGGCACGGCCCACCATTTAGGGTACACAGGGACGCACCAGGGTCCGTCAGGAGGTAGAGGGAGCAGGGAAAAGTGCAGGCAAGGGAGTTCACTGTGAGTTCTAGGAAGGAACATGGGAGCAGGCAAGGCAGGCTTGAGATTGGCTAGTTTGAATAAATTCAGGGGTCTGGGGCATAGAGACTGCCCCTAGTCATCTGATACCTGGTCCCAGGTGATTAGAGCCGGGGCTAGTGGCCTGAGTGTGAGAGCCCCATAGAGGAGGCGGTGGGAGCTTTGGGTTGTCTGTGAAAGGGGCTCTCCAAGACGAGTGGTTTGCCATCCTTAGCAACTGACTAACTCTAGGAGGGATAGCTAGTCCTTCCATGGTTACCAGGGCCCCAGGATGTCAAAGCGTAAGAATATTCAGCAAAAAGACACGATTAACACAATCTGTAATTATGTATGTGTACGTGCAGATCGTTAGAATGGTTAAAGGAGTCAACCAGGCATCCGTTAAATGGCTACGATGTTGGGCATATTACCCCGTCCCACTGGAGCTCAGAGTTTAGCATCAGTCTCTGAAAGCCCAGTAAGTCCACACCCCAAATAAGGATACACCTGATTTGGACGATCTGAGACTTCCTGTTGGCTAGACAGGCACTGCCAGCGTTTGATTCTCTGACTATCCCTTTTCCTGACTTTCTGTGCCCGTCCCACCCAGGTTCTAAAGGACACCCACAGTAGGCGGATGCGTCCAGTTAGGTCACAGACCACTGTCTCCGGCTAGGTAGCCTTTCACCTTCTTGCGAGTGGCCTTCACATAGCTCGGTTCCCACCAGTTCTGCGCCGATTTCATGATTTGAAGGGCATTTTCCCAAGAACCGTCGTCTTCAGGCAGATTTCATACATTCCAAGAAAGAAAAAAATTGGGGAGGGGTGATTTTTTTGTGCGTATATATGTCTTATATGTGATTTTGTAGGTAAAGATATCCCCGAATCTTATCAATTCCCACTGTCCTGGGAAACATCCCTTATCATGCTCCCCAAGTGTGGCTCTCAAGGTGTCTTCAAGGACCTCGGGCAGACCATCTGTGGCGGACCCAGTCCCCAAATCCTGAAGCACAATGGTCAGCACGATGCACGATGAAATATGGGCCTGATTTGGGCAATTTCCATCTCTCAGGTAGGTCCAGTTCTACCCTGTAGTTTTCAGCTCAGGATCTTGCAACGTGAAACCCAATTTTCAGTAGGAACACTGTTATAAAAGTCACACTCCAGGTCAATTTCCCCCAAATCCATTTCACTTTCTTAAGAAGATCCAGCTCTGGAGATGAGCAGCTTGTATGAGGGTTTGGAAATTATCTGAGAGATGAGGACACCAGTGTGCAGGAAAGCAGCCAGGGCAACAAGGCCATAGGCACAGAAACATCCGGAACCACATCAGGGAAGGCTCCATTCACAAAGGAAGGAGAGGTTCAAATTGGCCGCCGTGCCCAAAATCAGGGCGTGAGGATGTACAGATGGTGTGGCTTGCCCTAGCACAAGTAGGTAAGTCCCCTTCACCATTCCACCTACCGGCATCCGTGTTATTCCTTCCTGGTCCCCACTGCTTCCCCAAGACGACTGTTGCCGCTCTGGCCACCTGCTGGGCCGTGCTCAGAAGGGAGCCCGGGGAGAGGCTGCACACATAGCGATGGCTCCACAGCGGACACGGGATTCCACTCCCATGTGACTATCACTGGCCATGGAGTGGTCCACCGTGTGGGAGGACTTACTCTTGCGCTGAGTCCCAGGCCAAGCGTTTAAAATGCATTCGCTCTGCATTCTCCCGGCAACGCTCTGAAATAGGTGATTATTATCCCCATGTAGAGACGCAGGAACTGGGGCTCGGGGAACTCAGGAGCCCGTGGCAGAGCTGGGCTTTGAACCCTGCCTGTGTCAGCTCTTTGCCCCAGACGTGGGCAAATGTCTAAGAAGATAGTGGGGCCAATCTGGGCAGGACTTGGAGCTGTCCCTGCCCCTGGCAGCCGATGTGCCTGAGCTTGGAGTCTCTTTGTTGATACTGTGTATGGGGGCTTGGCCTCCTGCCCTCCTGCCGGGAGGGGCTGAGCCGAGAACTTGACTTTCTTCGGGTCTCCTGCCTGCAGCTTTGTCTCATTAGCTCACAAGTGCCACCTTGCCAATCCCGCTTTCTCTAGGGTCAGCCATTGGTTGTTTCAGGGACGTTGTTCTGGTCCTGGGCATAGAAAAGGCCACCAGCAGCAGCACCTGCCAAATCAGGAACGTGCCACTTTGCAGCACATGTCAGGGATCCGAGCTGCACACGGGCAGGAAACGGAGCTGGAGTGGGGGCCAGGAGGGATGAGTGCAGGTGGGGCCACGCACTCGGAGACCCCAAGGTGGTGTCATAGCTGATCCCATCGGACACCGACCTGAGCAGCAGGGGCCGTTATTGTCCCCACTTTACAGACAGGCACTTCCGATCCCCGGGACACAGGCAGGGACTCAAAGCCACTCAAATTAAAACACAGAATAGCTGGATTCTTTCAATCATGCCTGAGAGTCCAAGACAGGGAGGCAAGGTCAGGAGTGAGAACAAGAGCCAGGCTGGGGGGTCATGGAAAAGCAAACAGTAAAGCTGGAACCAAAAGCCAAGGGTCAGAGTTCAAAACCAGAGGACAGAGGAGGAGTCAGGCATGGTCCCCAGGGTGTGAGGATGAATGCTGGGACCACGTGGGAAGCCTGACCCTGGGCCTTCTGGCCACCTGCCTTTTAGGCAGAGCCATTCAATAGACTGATGTCTGGGAAGCAGACAGACCACCCACTGTGTGCTGGGATCAGCATGGAGTGGGTCTAAAGTCCGCTCAGGATGCTCTTCCTCTGGTTGTGGGTGTGGCCCCAAGAAGGAGGCCTTTTCTAGACTTGGAGGGGGACATTTCCAAATTCATGCAACGATGCTTCCCAGGCCAGCAGCAGCCCAAATGTCACTTCTTTTTTTTTTTTTTTTTAAAGATTTTATTTATTTATCTGACAGACAGAGATCACAAGTAGGCAGAGAGGCGGGCAGAGAGAGAGGGGGAAGCAGGCTCCCCACTGAGCAGAGAGCCCGATGCGGGGCTTGATCCCAGGACCCTGAGATCATGACCCAAGCCAAAGGCAGAGACTTAACCCACTGAGCCACCCAGGCGTCCCCAAATGTCACTTCTTGAATGGGACCCTCTCTTAGGACTTGGACCCCAAGTTATGCCCCTTTGCTGAGCTCCCAACCTTTGTCTGCCCTCCTTGTGCTAAATTGCTCTGGTTACTTGTGTGTAAGCCTCACCTTCCTAGCAGGTTGCCAATCTGGTTGACCTCTGCTGTCTTCCAGAATATTCAGCCCAGTCCCAGGCTCTCAGTCAGTATATAATGAGTATGGGGTTTTCCCACTGCCTTTTCTCTGAGACCTGTGGGTCTTCTGGAACTTCACAGATCTCCATCGACAAATGGAAAAGGACAAAGTCCATTTCCTCCCACCCTGCGATGATAATAGGATGATCAATAAGAGACTCTAAGAGCACTCCTGAGCCTGCTGGGAGATTTGACTCGGTGAGCTATTATGCTTGGCCAGACAGTTAAAGATACTCTGTCGTTTAATCTTTACCACAGGCCATGAATTTTGCACTACCGTACTCACTATACTGATGAGGAGCTGACAGTTCAGAGAGGTTAGGTGATTTGTCTAAAGGCAAACAGCAGAATTGGAACTCAAGTAGTTTACATCAAATAGTTTACACCAAAACCCATGTACGGGTCCTTTCCTTGTCTTTCCCATAAAGCATTATTATGTCAGTTCACAAGAAGTCTTTCATTGAACATCTAGCAAGTGCTAGGCACTGTCGGTTCAATGACAAATAAGATATGATCCCTACCCTTAAAATAATTTTGCCTACAGGGGCACCTGGGTGGCTCAGCCAATTAGGCATCTGCCTTTAGCTCAGGTCATGGTTCCAGCGTCCTGGGATCTAGCCCCATGTCAGGTTCCTTGGTCAGTTCCAGCGTCCTGGGATCTAGCCCCATGTCAGGTTCCTTGCTCAGCAGGGAGCCTGCCTCTCCCTCTCCCTCTGCTGTTTTCCCCTCTTGTGTTCTCTGGATCTCTTTCTCTGTCTGTCAAATAAATAAAAAAAATATTTAAAAAATTTGTTTGCCTATGGATTCAAGCCAAAAAGGATTGCGTGAGTGGAGATGCCATATTCGTGCGAGTGTCGGCAAGCGCACAGGTTAAGCATAGGAGCGTCTGGACGTTTCCCGTGCACTAACTGTCCACGACCCCTGACTAAAAACAAGCGGACTTGCCAGGGCCCTGCCAGTGTCAGGGACAGAGGTCCCCATGCCGCTCGAAGGGCACAGTCAGTGCTCATAGGCGGGTTCGGCAGACAGAAGCGCAGCCTGAACCGAGCAAGGCTCGCCCGGGGGTTTGCACCATTGTCTGGGAAAGCCGCCAGGGGTGGCTGCTGTGCTGAGAGCTGCCTGGGGGAGGGAAGACAGTGCTGAAGCCCCATCCTCCGGGCCCCAGGACCGGACCCCTTGGCCCTGTCATGCCTCAACACACAGGCCGCCTGCAAGGAGCGGGGAGTGAGGGGCCCCGCCTGGCGAGCCTGAGGCCTCACCAAGGGCCTGCTGCTTCCATGAACTGGAATCAAGGACAGCTCGGCCGCACGGCCTCTGAGGCCCGGGAGTTGTAACAATGAAGGAGCTCAGGTCGAGAAGATTCCTTCTTGCTTCTCAAAGCACGGCGCGGCTGCCTTTGGCTCCTGCGTTGGGCACCAGAGGAGAGGGCCGGAGAGACTGTGTTCCCAGGGGCGGGGTTCTCATCGGGGTGGGGGGCCAGGCGGGGTTCTCATCGGGGTGACGGGGGGGCAGTGTTTGTAGAGTGGCTCCTTGAGACATTTCCCATCCTTCCAAACGTCACCCAGGGAGTCGTCTCACAGAACAAACGGCAACTGCTCTTTTTGCAAGGTGGGTCAGACGATGGAGGAAGAAATCTGAGCCAGGATTTTAACTCGGGCAAAGGCCCTGGGAGGAGCGGTCAGCCTGTTGTCAAGTGTTTTATGGGGCCTGCGACGCTGGTTGCTAAGTGGTCGACCCCACAGAGCTTGGCCTGCTCCCTGTGGGCCGTTCTCACGACCTCTCAGAGCTCTGCAGAGACCTTGACAACTGGGACTTAGCCCACCGCCTGGGAGGGGAGCTCTGGAAGGGGGCCCGGTGGCAGAACATGTCTGTCCGGGAGGGGGTGACTGGGGGTGAACCCAGTGCGTCCCCTCTCTGGGAGGCCCGGGCGGGCTCTGCGCCTCGGGAGGCTCATCGGGACAGCTTCGCGGTTCTCCTGTGGGGCCAGGGAGTTTGGAGACTCCGCTGAGCCTCCCCATAAGCTCTGTTTTTAAAGTTCGCTCCCTTTCTCGGACGTGGTCCCATTCATCTGCTGCTGGAGGTTGGCCATGTGCCTTCCGGCCTTCAGGTGAATGAACAACAACTTGAAAGGGAGTGACCTTGAAGGGAAGGAGTGATTGGATGCAGCCACGGGCCAAGCTGGGGCAAGCTCTCCCCTGACCAGCGGACAGGTGTCTAGGCTGTGCAGCTGAGCACCCTACTCAACGCAGAACAGAATGGCGGTGGGGTTTAGGGGAGAAGCTCGGAAGAGAAAGTGGGTGTGGGGGGCATGCAGTGGTGAAGGGGGGGAGGACCCATGGCACAACCCTGGGAGCCTTAATTACCATACCACCAACTTCGTGGGGTGGGAGGGGAAACTCACAAGGCACGCAACTGACAATCAGTTCTTCCTTGACCTTGGGGGACTCAAGGTGCTGGCCTCACTCAGGAGGGTCCCTGGGAACTGCCCGCCTAGCTCCTACTCTTTGAGCTCCCCTCCGGCTTGCAGGAGAACACAGCCCGGCACGCAAGTACACACACAGTTCACAATGGCATCTGTAGGCTATGCACCAGTGCTCTCCTAGAGCGAGAGCATGCAAAGCCACCTGTGCACTTTTGAATTTTCTAGAAGATCCGGTAAAAAAGTAAAAGGAACAGGTAAAATTCATTTAATGATCTACTTTAGTAACTAAATACATGTATAGTATTATCATTTCAATAGGTAATCAAAATAAAAAATTAGCAGTGAGTGATCTCACATGTCTTTCCTGTGGTTAATGCTGGAAATCTCGCGTGTATTTTCCACAGCGCACTGCAATTTGAGCTCGTCTCTTTTCTAGTGCTCCAGAGCCATTGTGGCTTGTGGCCGTCCTGGTCCCAGCTGCAGACTGCAGCACAGATTGTCTGCTTTCCGCAAAAGCAGGCTCTGCAGGAGAAAAAAAACTCAGCAATCGAGGCAAGAAAGCTGGCTGTCCTCTGGCACTCGGTAGCTGTGTGACCTTGGGCAAGTCACCCTGGGATGAATATACCAGACAGTCCCTATGGTCCCACAACATCTCCCACTGCCCCCATAGGGTCACTGGTGGTCTTCCTGATAGGCCGTGAGCCCCTCAGACGGAGATCCTGTTAAGTGTGTGTGTGTGTGTGTGTGTGTGTGTGTGTGTGTGTGTGTTGTATTGAGGGGCAGTGTGGGGCAACCTTCCTGGACTCTGGAGAAGGTGACCATGAAATGATCAGAGCTGGTGAGTCCCAGGGGAAGTGGTGGGTTGAAGTACACCCCCCCAAACACACCCACCAAGAGAAACAGACTTCATCTAAAACATTCGAGAGCACTCCAGAAGCATTAAAGGACATGACAGAGCAAAAGGTAGTCCCAGCCACCTTTTGGGAGTCAACAGAATGGCGGGCGCTGTGGGTGGGGAGAAAGCAAGTCTGGCTACAGTGTGGCAGGCAGCTTCTCTGACATTTCCTCAGTTTCTCCTCTACGGTCGGTGAAGTCGCGGGCACATGGACTAGGCCCACGGGGGAGAGAGTTATAACTAAAATGCTATGATTCACTGAGGACTGGCCCTCAGGTGTGCCTGGGACAGCACCTGCTGGGAGGTGAGGCCAGGGACAGGGGGCATCAGTAAGCGGCGTGGGGTAGAAGCCAGGAGAGCTGACTTCTGATGCCTGCTGGCTCTCGCCCCTCCGACAGTTCCCTCTCTCATCTGCACCAGCTCCCTGCTTGCAGAATGAAAGGAGTGGGCCAAGAAGATACCGGGCTGCACCCATTCCCCCTAGGGCCCCAGTGCACCAGCTTCAGAACCCTCTAGAATGCCTCTTCTCCAGGCACAAAGAATGAGACAGGAGCTGTGTCTCTGGCTGCAGTTCCTCCAAGCACATGGCTCTATGTTTGTTGGGGATGGTTTTATAGGGTGAAGAAAATTATGGGAACTCTCATGGGTATGCTGGAAAGCGAGCATGATGGAGAGACTCCCATTACGGCTCATGTTGAGGCACTAATGGCACAACCACCAACTGACAAAGTGCCCCAATAATTGTCACTTGGCTTGTAAGAGGGAAGGCAGGCACCCAGAGCATGTGGTGAGGTCCAGAGTTCCATCCCAGAGAAGGAATCAGCTTTGTCACGGTAAGCATCAGGGTCAGCTGCCTGGATGTGGGATCACAAGGGTTAATACTCTGTGGTCATCTTAAATTCTTAATAATTTAAGGTTTGAGTTTGTGTGTCACAAATGTGGTCTGATGGGACAGTGCTGCGGCTTGCTTGACTCTGTGCCATCTTCCCCCTGATGCCTCCCTGAATGTGTCCCCAGACGCCGGCTCTCCTACCCTTGGGGCTCCTCCTCCGACCGGCGGCCACAATCATCTTCCTGCCCAAGACCTGAGCTTGGGTACTGAGAGGGTCATGGTTGGCCTTCAGTAAGGTAAGAGCCAGGGACCCAGTGTGGGTGAGCCTCCTGCTCTCCCCGGATCCAAATACTGAGCCTGTGCTGGCCGGGAGGTTGCAACTGCTTGGGGGTTGCTATGGGCTGGGGCAGGGTCCCTCACTGTGGTGGCTGGCAGAAGCCAGGGGGACCCTGCCGAGCCCTAGGGTGAGGTCCCCAGGAACCCGTGAGGGTCTGCACTCACCCAACAGATACACTGTGTCCAAGGAGGTGATGTTAAATAGCCAGTTGTAAATGTCACGGCAGGCAGGCAGTGAGAGAGAGAGAGAAGGAGGAAGCAGAGCAGTGTTACGTTCTAGTGTCTTTACCAGCACTGCCTCCCTGCTGCTGAACCAGGAGACCTGAGTCTTTACCTTGCCCCAGGCCTGCCAATTATAGAGCTAGCCCCGGGGAGCACCTGCCTTGGGACCTGAACCAACAAGGAAAGAAGTCACTAGGTCGAAATTTTTCCCCTTCCTTTCTCTTGGTGCACAAAATTGGGCTGACAACACTTCTAAGTTCAAGGCAAACTTAGATCCATAGAAGGTTCCTCTTTTGCTTTTTCGGTTTAATTTTCTCCCTTTAGCCCCTGTCTTCAGTCCCTCCCACCTGTACGTTACATTCACTTTCATGAGGTTCATAGAGGTCTTTCCTGTCCAAACTCCAGACGTTAATTTATGCATATTTATGTTGATAAAAATATACTTTGTTGCTTCGTGGTATGTTTGTTTCAAATTATATCTAAATGGCATCGAGTTCTATCTAAATTCTCCTCCTTTTCCTTACTTTTGCACTCACCATGATGCTTTGGAGGCCTAATGGTTCGCTCTCTGCAGACCTAGTTTACACCTAGTTTGTGCTGCAGGGAGTCTCCCCATGGACACAAAATTATGTCTTATTTTCCCTGCTAGGGATGCATGCCTAGGTCTTACCCCGCACTTGATTGTCAAAGCCACACCATGACGAATATGCCCAAACATGTTTCCTTCTGCATAAACGTGAAAATTTTCTTGGTATACATGTAATATATACACATGAGAAAAAAATGGATAGTATGGTTTTTCTTTCCCAAATGTCACTAAACACTGCCTGGCTGCCTTCCAAATAGCCACACTCGTTCCCGCCTCCAACCAGCAATGCCCGAGCATTCTGGCCCCTCCCACAACCTCAGCACCAATGGCTATCAGGCAACTTTTGCTTTCTGGCCAATCAGAGTGGGTCATTTTATTTCTCTGTAAGTGTCATTTGTATTTTTCTGATTGCTGGCGAGGCTGAGAGTCTCTCCATATATTCATCAGACCTGGAATCCCCCCTTCCATGACATGCCTACCCACTCACATACACTGACTGCTTTTCTATTTTATCTATCCTCCTTCCCCGGATAATTTGCAAGAGCTCTTCACATATTCTAAATACTAACATCTATTGGTTATAGAAAATGGATACAGTTTATCCCAGAAGTATTTTCACCCATTTGTTAACTTGGCTTCGGATGCTAGTTATTGAATGGAAATCTTGACTTTTGATTTAGTGAAGTCAATTAGATTTTTCTCTTCTGGTGTATCCTTTCTGGACGCTGCTTACTAAAGCCTTTTCCAATCAAGGTTACAAACATAATCTCCTACCATCTGGATAGAACAAGTGGGAGCGAGCATCAAAGAACCAATTGAGAGAGAGTCTGGGAGCTGGAAAATCCACCAGCCTGAACGTCTGAGAGCTGATTCCAGGAGCAGCCTGGAATGCGGCAATCAGACCGTCCTGCATGCCATTCCTCTACACGGTATGAATTCCTGGGTAGAGATGACTCCTCATCCTCAGCCGCATTTGTAACCAGTTCTTTGACCCTTTGGCTTCTATGCTGCTGTTCTTCGATGGATTTGGCACTGGACGTGAGGCCAAGGGAAATCCTGGGCCTGTCCACCCCCTCTGCACGCACACACACAAGCACACACACAAAAGGGCGCCTATGATCCCTTGAGGGCCGCTCAGTCCCTGGCAGAGGCTGGAATGTCACTGCGTGTTCTTCATCCTTCTGACTTTTGAGGACAGCAGCCACTGGGATTGGCGGATCTGCAACGACACAGCCATGAATTTCAGTCATGCTCATTTCAGCACCACGAAAGGAGGCCCAGCCAGGAATTATTGCACTATTGACGGTGACAGTGACCACAGAGTTCTCCTCCTCCCGGCGTTGAGCTTGTCTCCTTTGAGTAAGCAAGCGCGAAAGCTGTCAGCAAAGAAAACCAAACGAAGGCAACCTCTGAGTGTCCCAGCTGGGGGGCCGTGTACTTCCCGCGGCCTTTCTGAGCTGGACACTCACTGACCTACACCCTCCCTCCTTTAAAGACACTGAGACACCTTGAGGCTAAGTAGCTAGTCCCTGGTCACACAGCTCATGAGAGCTGGAATCCAGAATTGGACCCCAGGCTGTCCGCCACCGGATGTCCTAAGGAGGGGCCTCTTGGACAAGCCCTGTGTGGAAAGGAGCCCATAGGGGAATGTATACAACTTTCCAGAACTCAAGTGTGTCCCTGGCAGCGGTATCAGAATAAGGGGACTCTCAGGATAAATTTTGGCATTTGTCACCCATGAATGGGTGTACCACATTCACAAACGTGAACTAGACTCCTCCTCTGTGTCAGGTAATGGGCTAATTGTAAGGGATAGAAAAATGTGTCTGAGTGGGCAACAGGCACTCGTGAAGTGTTTGTTGAAGAATGAATGACTGAGAGAGTAACTGAATACGTGAAAAACAAATATCTCTTGCAGGTAGGTTGGACAGGTGAGTGATGCCATTGCAGGGCACCTGCCAGGGGAAAGGCACTGAGGTCATGCCCAGATGCTGTGGCTGTGATGTCTGGAGAGGGATGGGGGCAGGAGAGTTCACATGCAAAGTCATTCCCAAGCACGATTTTGAAGGATGTGAGGTCATCGGGTGGAGAAGATGAGAAGGCATCTGGTGATGCACGAGGTGTCTGGTGGGGTGGGGTTGGGAAGCCGGTGGGCCTGTGAGGAGGGAGTGGGCAGAGTGGGGTCTGTGCTGCTGGAGAGGTCAGGTGAAGGGGGCGAGGCTTCTGGGACACAGGGTAGCATTTCAATCAGGGGCTCGGCAGGGGAAGAAGAATGTTTCACAATGCCCGGCTCCCTGCAGAGTGTTGTGAGGTCAAGGGCGAGGGCCAAGAGCAGAAGACCACTCAGATTAGGGGTGGTGAGGACCTGGGAGAAAGGGTGGAACCTGGAGGCATTTAGGATATGGGAACTGCCACCACCAACACAGAGTATCTTGGCGATGGAGTCCATGTAGCCAGGGAGGAGGAGCTGTGACCCAGGCTGACCCCCGACCCCTGGCCTGGGTCCGGGGTGGATGGCCATTACCCACAGAGATGGAGACCAGGACGCAGGGCGCCAGCTGTTCGGGAAGGCGGGAGAGGACGGTGTTGGGTCTGCTACTTAGCCCTGACTCCGACCCTTCAACACGGGGCTCTGAAGTAGCTCGGGTAGTGCCCCTCCCCTCCGCCCCTTTCCTGTGCTCCACCTGCTCTGGGGGAAAGCTGACCCCAGGCCCAAGTTTCAGGGGTGCTTTGAAAGGCTTCCCTCAATCCCCGCCTGCTGTGATTGGTTCAGAGATGAGGGTGTGGCCCAAGCTGCCCAATCAGAGTGACCCTTGGGGTCTCCCTGGGTATTCTTGGGGCAGAGATACTCTCTCTCTCCCTGGAAGTGAAGAAACAAGCAGGCCACCCAGGGACGCTGGAGCAGCCACCGCGGGAGCAGGGACATGGAAGACCCGGGGTCTTGGGCTCATCTCTGTGCCACCAGATGAAACCCACTCGGAAGCCTGTTTGACCTCGATTCTCTGTTCTGCAAGCCCCAGATTCTCCTAGGGTTCAAATCTGTTTGAATTGGGTTTCTGTTAATTACACCTGAAAGCTTACTAATTGACACAGAAGAACAGACTTCTGGTTTGGGACTCTCGGGCTCCGAGAGGGAATTGAAACAGAGCCGGGGTGATCTAAGCCAAGGTTCCGCTACAGGTAAGAGAAGCCGCACTCTCTCCCGAAAGCTGAAGGTGGTTTGTCTAAGTGACTCCCAAAGCATGGCAGGCTGTGACAGCTGGCTCGAGGCGATGACCCCAGGAGGACTGGCCACAGGAGAGGGGCAGGGAAGGGTGGGAAGCAGTGGTCAGAGAAGCAGCATGACCCAGGGTCCTGGAGAAGGTCTGGAAATATGAGAAGTTTTCAAACTGCCCTGTGCCAGGGGCTGGCGTGTAGGAAATCTGTAATAAAAGGTGACCATCGTTATTAAAAATAAATGTCCCAGGGCACCTTATGGGCTGAGTCAGTAGAGGGAGCGACTTTTGATTCTGGGGTCGTGAGTTCAAGCCCCATGTAGGGTGTAGAGATTACTTAAATAAATAAAAACTTTTAAAAAAGGTCTAATTTTGGGGGGATCTGGTAGGCCACTGGTGGTCACTGAGGCCGTCAGGGTCAGGGGCCGTGGTGGCAATGGAAATGAATACTTGGCATCCCAGGGGCATACAGACAGCGTGTAGACAGTGGGGGCAGCCTCCCATGAAATTAAGATATATGCAGATTTAAAAAGGAGAGAAAGAAGACAGTAGTTAGTAAGAGTTTCTCAAGATGTGCGAAGGCAAGCAACGGGTCCAGGCGGCCTTAGAGATGAAGGTATGAGAGGTGGGGGTTCAGGCAGAAGGCAAGAGCCTGGGGGCTTTTGGGGTGCTGGCCTTTTTGGGGACGAGGACCCACTCATCTGGGAAAAGGGACGAGAGAGTCAAAAGAGCAAGGTGCGCAGCAGAGGCTGACAGGCAGAGGGAGGGAAGCAAAGATGGAGAAGGGGCATCCGAGCGTAGGGTTTCAAGGGCAGAGGGGGAGAGGGAAGACAAGACAGGGAGTGTGGCCTTGGCGGTGGGTGGTTGCAGCTGGGCGGCAAGAGGGTGTGCATGTCCCGGGAGACAGAGGCAAAGACCCATCCTCCACGTGCCCACCCCAATACGCAAATGCCCACGCACCTTCCCTCCATCCTCCCAGAATGCACCTGTTTGCCCGTCTCTCCTCTTACCTCCTTCCCATGCTCACGAAGAGCAAAATTACACGCAATTTCCATTTAGTTAAAAAAATGACCAAGGGGACAGAAGGGCCATTGAGAAAATGACATATTGCTTTGAGTACTTGGTTGGGTGTTAGAGAATGTGTTCTGAGGGACTGTTGCCCTACTGACACTCGGGGTCCCGTATGTCTGACAATACTCTGTATTTAGGGTCTCCGTGTGCAGAGGCAGGCACAGAGCGCAGACACAGGAGACACACCCTGAGTGAGGAGAAGAGGCCTGACGGTCTCCCCTCTGAGCGGTCCGGAGCTCATGCTGGCTGCTCGACCACAGGTGGTTTTCACCCCGCCACCCAGCACATTCTCTGGGACGAGGTCACCATTTGCCATAAAGGCAGCGAGGCTAAACCCGCTCCTGACCATGCTCTGCTCTCCCCTTCCAAAGTCTGGAGAATCAGCCTCAAAGCCAATGGCGTTTAGCCCCCAACCACACAGAAGTGCTAGCTTCCACCTGCAGGGGTGGATAAAACCAGGAGCTCCTCCCTAGGAAGGGAACTCTGTCTCCAATCCTCCCCACACCCAGATATTCAGATATCCTCCTGCCATTGCCCTGACCATGGACTCTGGTTACGGGCAGGCAGTCTCGGCTCCTTCCAGCAGAAGTGAGTCCACGGTAGAAGCTCAGAAGCTTCTAGCCGGAGCTACAGCATGCGCGATTGTGCTGACCCGGCCCCACACAGCGTAGACACCATTGCGGCACCTTCCACAGAGCAGCACAAATAGGAAACAGCCTACTTGTTGTTTCCTGGGCTTGGGAGAGACGCAGGGGCTGGAAAACGGGTTCTGGATACTCACAGGGGCCAGGCACAGGCCTCTAGATGGCTTCTGTCTTGCCAGTTTTAAAAATTGAAAACTTGGAGCAGGGGGAAATGTTTTCACTGCCAGGGCTGGGAGAGTGAGCTGGTCCCTGGCCCGGGAGGCGCGTCGTTGGGTCCCTCTCTGTTCTTGGCTCTGAGGATGCTCTAGCCAGCTCTGCCCTGGGGCACTTAGCAGGAAGTCCCAAGCCCAGTCTCCGCTGATGACCTCGGTTTTCGAGGATTAAGAGGGAGGACCCAATTAGCCTTTTCAGAACTACCAATGAACCTTTCCAGGTTTCAGAACTGCCATGACTTTTCCAGGGGAAGGTGCTCACGAGTGAGCCAATGTGAAGTCCCCAGTGGCTCTGAATGGAGGTGCGTGGCCTTGACCCAACGTAGTTCAGAAGCACAGAGTCCATCTGCCTTTCTC